GGTTTGTGCATGAAAGATTATCAACGTCATATTATTCTATAACAAGAAATAATCATATTGTAGCACAACTTATAAATATGGCATAACCCAACATAGCATGGCATCGTACAACATAGCATAGTATAACAATCATAATTATGACATGTGTACGGGGCAGGGAGCACGAGGCACGTGAAATTGTATATCATACAATTAGCTCAACCAAGCCAAAAGTCGAGCCACTTAACTGAGTAGCTTAAGCCGAATTTGCTAATTTAACCATGGAGCCAGTCCAAATCCATCCTTTGAAATTCAAGTTAACCTATGAGAATTCGGGACACCAGATTAGAATAGAGGTTTAATTTACCTAATGCCCACCATTAAACCTATAATTTATCTTACAATTCTTTAAATTCACCAAAAAGTGGCCATACTCATCTCTGTTTCTTTTAGACATTCTAAAATCAGCTTCATGAGGATAAAAATGGAGCAACCCAAGCCATTTGAAGTCGTAGAGCCGAGCTACGCAATCGCTGTAGAGGAGCGCGGGTCGCGACTTCATGTCGAGTCAAGCGTGTGGATTCAAACACAGTTTAGGAGGTCTTATAAAATAGGGCCATTATGCTCAAACTCATCTTGAAATGAAATATAAACTTAAAAAATAGAGTCACTTATTGATTATTTTTACGTAAACTATGCTGCTAAAAAGCTCTATTGATAAAATAGTATAATAATGTTTTCAACTTTAAATATCTTCTATACATATTCTATTTATTTAAAACATAAGCGAACATATATAGATGTATTTAAAGCCCCCACAAATACAAACTATATTTTAACAAAAAGGAAAAAGAAAAAAAAATAATAATAATTCTAATTTTCGAAAACTTGATGGACTAAAATAAAATACTTGAAAACATAGATAAAATTACTTTAAAAAATATTATTTAAAGTTAATTTGAATATAGTTCAATAGAAAAATAATTATTATGGGCTTTCTCTCAAGGCTTTAAAACGTGTCTGTTAGGGGAAGGTTTCCACACACTAAGGGTGTTTTGTTCTCCTCCCCAACTAATATTGGACATTACAATCCATCCCCCTTTGGGTCCCAGCGTCTTCGTTGGCACAATGTCTCGTGTCTATCCCCCTTCGGGGAACAACCTCCTCTCTAGCACATCGCCTGGTGTCTTGCTCTGATACCAGTAACGACCCAAGCTCACCACTAGTAGATATTGTCCTCTTCGGGCTTTTCCTTAGAGGCTTCCTCTCAAGGCTTTAAAACGCGTCTACTACGGGAAGGTTTCCACACCCTTATAAAGGGTGTTTTGTTCTCCTCTCCAACCAATGTGGGACATCATAAAAACTGAACTCGACCCAACCCAACCATATCGTTTTGGGTTAGATTGATTTAAGTTTGAATATTTTTTTAAAAATTCTTTTGTTTCTAACAAAAATAAAATTTTAATTCATAAAATCTTTATGTAGATGTAAGGTGTAAAAACTTAAATTTCGATGTAGGAGACCATGTGTTCCTAAAGATAACACCCATGAGAGGGATGTTGAGATTTTGGTAAGAAAGGGAAGCTAAGCCCCAAGTTCATGGATCCTTTTGAGATACTAGAAAGAATAGGCCTAGTGGCCTATAGACGGGCACTCCCACAAAGCTTATCTTCCATACACAATATATTTTATGCGTCTATGTTACGAAAGTATACGTCATTCCACTCACGTGATAGCACATGATAAACTTCCCTCGAAGAAGAACCTAACGTATAAAAAAGAGTCCATATCAAATTTCTCCAAATTTTAATTCTTTATGGATAAGATTTAGAAAGGAAAAAATTAAAGAAAGTTAGAAAATATGGGGAAATAGACTTTTTTTTTTTTTTTTTTTTTTTTTTTTTTTTTTTTTTTTTTTTTTTTTTTTTTTTTTTTTTTTTTTTTTTTTTT